AAGACAAAAGTACCTAACCCTATGAGACATGGGACTGCTCTGCCTGTTGTTTTCTTTCAGCTATGGAAGGACAGAAAGGAGACCTTGTGGCACAACAGTTAAACACTGGCTGCTAACTGAAAGGCCGGCAGTTCAAACCTACCCAGTGGCTCTACAGGAGAAAGAGCTGGCAATCTGCTTCCACAAACAATCAGAAAACCCTACGAGCCAGTTTTGCCCTGTCACATGGAGTCTGAGTCAAAAGTGACTTGAGCGCACCCAACGACAACGTGGAAGGTGAGAGCTGAACCCACGAGAGGACAGCACAGCAGCAGAGGGCCTGCAAGGCTGAGGGCCCAGGGCTCCAGCAGGTACCTGAGGGAGGTACCTGGTGTGGGCTGACATGCTGGCCCCAGAAAGGTAAGTTCAAGTTCTACCTCTGAAAAAAACAAAACAAAAAACCCACTGTCATTGAGTCGATTCTGACTCATAGTGACCCCCATTGGGTTTCCAAGTGGGTAAATCTTTACCGAAGTAGATTGCCCAGTCTTGCTTCTGCAGAGTGGCTGGTGGGTTTGAACCACCAACCTTCTGGTTAGCAGTCAGATGCCTTAGGCACTGTGCTCCTTAAGTTCTACCTCCAGTACCTATGAATGTGACCTTACTGGAAACAGGGTCATTGCAGATGTAACTAATTAACATGAGGCCCTACTGGAGTAAGAGATTCCTAATCTAGTATGAGTGGTGTCCTGAACAAGAGGAGGACAGACGCAGGCAGAGGGAGTATGCCACGTGAAGACAGGCAGACGTCACAGCAATGTTGCTACAAGCTGAGGCACATCTGGGCTGTCAGATACTGGAAAAGCCATGGAAGCCTCTTGCCACAGAAACATTGCAGAGAACATGGCCCTACTGACACCTCCAATCCAGACTTCTAGCCTCAAGAACTGGGAGAGAATCAAGCTCTGTTGTCTTAAGCCACCGGGGTTGTGGTACTTGCAAAGGCAGTCCTAGGATGCTAACAGCCCCAAGGGACACTGAGGCACAAAAGCACTATGTCACCTGGCACCTCCAAAGCTAAATAATCAAACCTCCATTTTCTGCTCCACAAAATAAGGCCACAGGAGGGGCCATCCCAGGATACCCAATGAGCCCAGCCTGGGACTGGAACTCAGTGTGCATGTCACAGGCTTGTGTTACTGTGCTCCTAGCACGTTCCTGTCTACATACTGTGTTTCCCTGAGGATGGCTCCAGAGGCTTGGTTGCATCACAGAGATCTATACGTAACCAAGAAGGGGCGGACCAGTAGGAAAAATCTTACCCTGCCACGTGAAATAAAACATCATCCTGAGTGGCGGCCTTTGGATTCCATCTGAACCCACAGAAAGAGAGCAGTGGAAGACTGCTTCCGATTTCAGGGAAGTTGTCTGAAATCAAATTAAATTGGATCCTGCCTGTCGAGTCTGACTGTACGTGCACTTCAAACCTGAAGCAGCACTAAAATATTTAGAGAAAGAATGTCCATAAAACTAGACTGTTATTCATAACAATATCTAGAGGCAGAAAAGTCAAAATGCTTCCTTGTGATTATGTATCCAGCCTGACTAGGAAAGACAGTATGTCACATTAAGTAAATTCGTCTGGAAACTGACTTTATCTTTTCAGAACTGATCCTCTCCGAACACTAACGCCCGTGCTCTGTCCCTGGAATGGGAGAACATGATCTAGTGCTATGGTCCGTCCCACAGGTGGAGCACTACAAATCGCCACTCTTACACTGTGTCCTTGGGGAATGCCAGGGAGATGAGAACGCTGACCACTGAAGGCACAGGGACAGTGATCACTCAGAAGAACCAACACACTTCGTGTGGCCCCAATTAACCTTCCCACATCCTCACTGTGGTAGGCAGCATCGGGTCATGCTGCCAGCCATCAAGGGAGCTCCCAGTCACGGGGACCCCATGTGTGTCAGAGCACTGTGCTCCCCAGGGTTCCAGTGGGTGATTTTTCAGAAGCAGATTACCAGGCCTTTCTTCCAAAGCACCACTGAATGGGCTTGAACCCCCAACCTTTGGGCTAGCACTAGACGTGTTAACTGTTTGTACCACCTAGGTACTCCTCCACAAAGACCTCCAGATCCAATCCCTGAGCCTTTAACTCATCTCATATGGGAGGAGACTTGTAGATGCCTCAAGGTGAGGATTTTGAGATGGGGAAATTGTCCTGGATTATCGGGGGGGGGCCCAATGTGAGCACCAAACCAAAAACCAAACTCACAGCCATCGAGTCGAATACCGACTCACAGCTACCCCCACTGGGTTCCCAAGGCTGTAAATCTTTATGAAAGTAGATTGCCCCATCTTCCTTCTGCAGAGCAGCTGATGGGTTTGAACTGCTGACCTTCTGGTTAGCAGCCAAATGCCTTATCCACTACACCAAACACAGGGGTCCTTAAAAGATGGAGGCAGGAGAGGTAAAGTCAGAGAAAAGAGATGTGATGACAGAAGCAAAGGGATAGAAAGAGACTTGAAGACACTACTCTGTTGGCTTTGAAGGAGGAGGAGAGGCTTATGAACTCAAGGGTGCAGGCATCCTCTACATGCTAGAAAAAGGAAGGAAACAGATTCTCCCCTGGAACCCACAGAAGGAACACAGCCCCGCTGACACCCTATGATAGTTAAGGTTATGTGTTAACTTGGCTGGGCCTGGTTTTGAGTGGCTAGACACCTGGATGTAGTTATTCCCCATGGTGAGATCAGTAATCAACTCCAAGGTGGAATCTACTGGAACAGCTGAGTAGCTGCTTTAGGGGTGTGGTCTGCTTCCAGTATATAAGAAACAATTTTGAGAAAGGTCTCTAGCTTTTGGCATGTTTGAATCCTATATGTAGCTGAGTCGTTATTCAACAGCAGTCTTGGGACTCTTAATGGACTTGAATCAATGGCCTGCTCTGTGGTTGGTAACATTGGGACTGTGTCTTTTTACTTGTTGACCTTGGGTTTGTCAGCTTCAGCAGCCAGCAGCTGCCTGAGTGAAAAAAGCCTCCTGCTTCAGGAGAACTGAAGCCCAAGGTCAAGAGGCTTTCACCTAGCCCCTAGAACCTCACACTTTGAACTCGGACTTCTAGTCTCCAAAACTGTACGAGAATTAACTCCTGTTTGTTAAAGCCACCCATTTGTGGTATATTTTCTATTAGAGCAGCATAAGGTAAACAAAACACACACTGATTTTAGACTTCTGAGCTTCAGAATCATAAGATGGTAAGTCTGTGTTGTTTGTAAGCCACTAAGTTTGGGCAATTTGTTACAGCAACCATAGGAAACTAATACACCCATGTCACAATGGGGATGATGAAGTTGCCTGTTTGAGGCTGTACAGACAGGAAGTGGTTCCAACCTGGGCCTGCCCTCTGCAGCTCATGGTTTCTGCCACTCTGCGTCACTGCCTCTCTACGTAGCCTGGCACCACACAGGCTTGCCCCGTGCTGTGAGAAGAGGATCCTGCAGGAGGCGTAACGGGCATTTGGCAACTGGCATCTTATAGAGCACAGATCTTCACGGTTCTCGCATCTGCAGTAATTTGTGCAACAGCCAGAACAGAAATAGCTACGTCAGTAAAAATGCAGCTCAGGAAGTCTCTCTACTTTGACGGCTAAACTCCAACTGCAGACAGGACACCGATGATAATTAGCACATAAGCTTGGAAACCAAGTGGAATGGAGCGGGGTGAGATGTGGCAAGAAGCGGAGGGTGGTGTGGAAGCAGGTGAAAGGACAGGAGGGGAAGAAGCAGCCTGGCTTAAAGGCACAGACCCTGTAGCAGGCCTCTGCCACTGAGCCCTCTCCACCCAGCTGAGAGGGTTTAGGAAAGCGCGTCCCAGTCAACAGTCAACAGTCAACTCCATATACTAGTCTCAGTTAACTGTTCAGGAAGCTGTATGGTTAATTTTAAGGAGCCCAGGTAGTACAATGGCTAAAAACTCAGCTGCTAACTGAAAGGCTGGTGGTTCGAACCCACCCAGCAGATCCATGAGAGAAAGACCTGGTGATCTGCTCTCATAAAGATTACAGTTGAGAAAACCCTATGGGGACAGTTCTTATTTGTCACATGGGATCACCATGAGTTGGCATTGACTCGATGGCACCTAACAACAACAACAATATAGTTCATCTTATAGTCTGGGCTCAGTTATTCCCAATGGATCTTGGGGTTTACGAAAACCTGAGATGAGAAGCATCCTATGTCCCCAAATAAGCATTTCCAAAGGGGTGTCTGGGGGCCTTGAAATCAGCCCTCTCTCTCCTGCCTGTCACCCAGTCACCAGTCCTCAGACATGATCAACAGAAAGCCAGCATAGTCATGGCAGTTGCCCTACCCGACTCTCTTCCCCAGGGGTGAGTGGAAGGAAGGGTGACAGGGAAGTTGGGGAGGATCCAGTCTCACTCCCTGTCATTGAACTTGGTAAGATCAGCCAAGCTGGTTTCTCAGTTGTCTTTTCTTATTTGCTCCTGCTTGTGCCTCTGGAAGGAAGAGACTTTCAGATAAGTGGGGCTACTTGATCCAACAGTGATTTTCCTTCTTGGAGGACAGAGGAAAAAAAAAAGAAAAGGAGCAAACACCTCCATGTGTAGACACCGGATCTCTCGGGATCAGGGGAAGAGGGAAAAGGGCACATCTTCCTAATTTCCACCATCAACTCTCCACATGGCAAATTATTACTCAGCCAAGAGTGTGAGAAGCCTGGTAATTTCTTTTTGTAAATTTCACATGAAAACTCTTCCTAACTCAAGTGTCTGAGGGAAGATTGGGTTGAGAGAGAAGGAGGACCCAAAGGAATTTGCACTGAACTTCAAAGAGCTTTTCATTTTATGATTAAAGAACTGGCATTTGATTATGTAACCAAGAGCACTGCTCCACTTCACCTTCCCATATGCCACAGGTGGGCAGAATCACATACAATCCCCTAGACTGCACCTCAGGCCTGGGATCTTCCTAAAGTCAAAAGGGGAGAAATGTTTTACAGCATGACTTTTCCAATCAGTTCTCTGATAACTGTTGGCATACATGCAAAGGGTGCAATCTGGTCCTTTACTGGTCAATTTCTTCCTTTGTATATACTGTTTGTCTATCCTTTTTTGCTGAAACCTTCAGCCCAGACTGACCTATCCTCTCTAAGGTACAGTAACACACTCCTTGAGAAACAGGAATGTGATCCCCATGGCTCACTGTTGTTGGGGGCCATCGAGCTGACTGTCACTCACAGCAATGACACATGATGGAGGAGAATGGCTCCATGGGGTTTTCTTGGCTGTAATCGTTCTGGAAGCAGGTTACCTGGTCTTGTCTCCTATGGAGCGGCTGAGTGGGTTTGAACTGCCTACCTTCCTCTTAGCAGCTGAGTGCTTAACCACTGCACCATCAGTGCTCTTTAAATAAATCAGTGAGTGTGAAAAATTAGCTTTGCAAGCAGGTAACCAAAAGCCAAACCAAACTCACGGCCACTGAGTTGATTCTAACTCACAGTGACTCTGTAGGAAAGAGTAGAACCGCCCCAAAGGTTTTCCAAGACTGTAAACCTCTATAGAACTAGACTGCCTCATCTCTCTCCCACAGAGCAGCTGGTAGATTCAAACCACAAACCTTCTGGTTAGCCGTCCAATGCTTTAAACACCGTGCCACAAGAGCTCCTTACAAGAAGGTAAAAGACAGTGTAATTACATAATTAGTTAAAAGATAATGACTTTGAGTAAGTGAGTGAGTTCTGAGTGAGTTCTGCTATTTTAAAATCTGTATTTTAAAATCTCTGTATTTTAAAATCTCTAAGTCACAGTATTTGATGTAACATAAGTAGCTGCGAGATGACATGGGAAAAACCACTGGTACTTTTTGAATGCCGTTATATCCCAGGCACTTTATACAAGGCCTTCATGATTGTTTTTCACTTATTCATGTAACAGACATTTACTGAGCACCTACTATATGCCAACACTATTCTAGGTGCTAGAAATACACAACACACAAATATAATAAACTAAAAAACCCTGGGTAGGGAGCTTACATGCTGGTAGAAAAGGCAGAAAAATCATAAATAAGGAAACTAGATAGTACATTAGAGAAAAAGAAGTCTTAAGAGAAACATGAGAAAGAGTATGAAGTAATTGGGGGAGAGTTCTAGTAGCAGAAGACAGAGAAATGATCAATAAGGAAACTATATAGTACACCAGAGACGGTAAGTCTAAGGAGACACACCTAAGAAACACAGAAGGGAGTCTGGATTATGAAGAGGGTGGCTGAAGCTGGAGACACACAGCTGCAGGCACCCTGAGAACATGCCTCTTAAGGAGAGCTTAAAGCCAGGACGACGTGAATAGCATTGCACTAGGATATTCAGGGAAGAGGACTGCAGAAAGGGGATGCTGCCCCACCAGATGCCCCGAGAAGGGTGTGCCTGGCAGGTTCCAGAAGAGCAGGAGGCCCTATGTCTGGAAGGATGAGAGCCTGAGGCCTATCAGGTCCAAGAGACAGGTGGGTGGGTGGGAAGATCAGAGGGTTTTTTAGTGAGGATTTTGGCTTTCACTCCACATGAGAGGAGATACACAGGAGGGTTCAAATCAGAGGAGGAATGTGACCCAATGTCTCACAGGATCGCTCTGGCCACTGTGTTGAGAAGAGACCACGGGGTAAAAGGTAGAAGGAGGATGTGCAGGTATGTAGGAGGCCACTGGAAGAATGAAGGTAAAGGACAGGACCTTGTACCAAAGAGCAGACACAAGATTCTGGGTGATGTGCAAGAGAGAACCCAGAGGATTTGTCAGGACCGGATGTGGGGGATGAACGGGATAGTCAAGACTGACCCAAGGTCTGTGACCCAAGCAACTGAAAAACCACTTGCCATTTACAGAGACACGGCAAACCAAGGGTCTGCAAACTGTGGCTCAGACCAATCCAGCCTGTGCTCTGTTTGTATATAGCCTGGATTTTATGTTTTGCAAGGTTTATAAGACAAAGAAAAACACAGGGAAGAGAATGTATGTGGCCCACAAAACCTAAAATATGCCCTATCTCTTTATAGACAAAGTTGGGAGACACCTGGACCATACAAGGCACAGGTTTAGAAGAAAGACCAGGAACCCAGTGTGGAACATGCTAAGTCTGAGATGCCTTTTAGACACCCAAGTGCAGATCTGAGGGGACGGAGGTAGATACAGGTCAGCGGCTCAGGGAAGGGACTGGGCTAGAAATATAGATGAGGAAGCCTTCAGAGGAGATGGCGTTTAAAGCCAGGAGATGGGAGGAGATCACCTCAGGTGTGAGCGTAGGAAGAAAAGAGATCCACAGACTGAGTGCTCAGGGCTTCCTAGATGCGGAGGGATCAACACAGAAATCCTTTACTAGTTAAGCTCAGCTATTGTTTGGTTTTAGGAGCTCTGGTAATGTAGTGCCTAAGGTACGTGACTGCTAACCAGAAGGCTGGCAGTTCAAACCCACCAGCTACTCCTCAGTGATACCTACTTGGATAATCTACTTCCATAGTGATACCATCTTGGAAACCCAAGGAGGGGTTGCTCTGAGTCGGGTCCAACTCCACAGCACATAACAACAACATTGTTTGGTTTTAAGAAGACTTCAGCGGATATTTTTGGTTTAGGGTTTAAAGATGATCTCAGGGCAACAGTTTCAGGGATTTGGCCAACCTTCAGAGCTCCAGAAAGTTTGGAGTCATGCAAATTTGAAAATATATTCTGCATTTTCCCCCAAAATTCTGCATTTTATCAGGAATCTTCTATAGATTCTTTGATCAAAATGTTCTACATTAATGGGAGAGGAACAATTCAGAAAATGAGAGAATGGTTGCACAACTCAAAGAACATAATCAATGTCACTGAATAATACATGCAGAAATTTTTGAATCAGTGTATGTTTTGCTGTGTATATTCTCAACAATAGAAAAATAAATAAAATTTTGAAAAAAGTACAGGGATGAGTAGGGACCGGAAAAGGAGACTGAGAAGGAGCAACTTCCTGTCGTGATCCTCAAACCCATGTAGCAAAGGGAGTGGATAAGTATCCCCATTTTACTGCTGAGGAAGCTAAGGCTCAAAGGAGTAATCTGACCAAGGTCACCTCAGTAGGAGTGGCAGACAAGACTCAAGGCCAGACCTTTCTGGCCCTACCCTAGCTCACAAGGCTTCTTTTGGAAAACCAACTGGATTATTTCCTGATACAATAAGTACAATTAAAACCAAATCATTCCAGTCAGGCTTTAGAGCAATGTACGCTTCTAAATTATGAGTTAATTTTATGGTTCAGAGATGACAGCCTCCTCAAGGCAACCTTGCGATTAGCACCAGCCCATCTCTCCAGGGAATTCAAAGCATGTTACAGAGGCTGGCAACTGGCAACTACAGCAAGCCCAGGAAGAGAGTTACTGTCTTCTCTTTCACACAAAGGGGGAGATATTTTGCATAATGTGGCCAAATAATTCCAAAATTCATCCCAAGTAATGATAATTAAATGAGAAGAGCTAAAAAATGTTTGCAGGGCAGGGAGTGGGGGATAGAGATACAAAAAGAAAAGAAATAAAGAAATGCAATGTAAGACCTTATACTAGAACAAAGATCACTGGAACAGAAAATCCAGAATCAGACCCAACATCTGGGGATATTCCAGCATTCAAAATAACACTAAAGGATTCGATTTCTCTATAAATATGCTGAGTCAATTAATAACTGAAAACAAATTAACATGTCTACTGCACATCACACATCAAGATTAAATTTCAAGAATATTAAATCTCATAAATATTATGAAATCAACAGATAAAACCTAAAGAAAAAATAAAAGGATTTTCTGCCAAGATGAGGAGGTTCTTCTAACATAGAGAAACTATGGGGGGAAATAAAGAAAAAACTGACAAACTTAAAGGTACATAGTTTTTAAAATATGTGTATAAAAAAAATACCACAAAATTTAAAAGAAAATGATAAACTGAGGGAAGTAGCTGTAAAATATGACAAAATATACAGGGAGCTCTGGTGGCAGAGTGCTTAAGGCATCTGACTGCTAACCAGAAGGCTGGCAGTTCACACCCTCGGAAGGAAAACTGGGCAATTTATACTACCTTGGAAATCCAAGGAGGGGTCCCTATGAGTTGAACCTACTCAAAAGCAGTGAGTTTGGTTTGGTTTATTACTACACAAAGAACTTTTAGAAACCAACAAGTTAAAATATGAGCATTATGAAAAACAGGCAAGGGGAATAAACTTCCTTCAAAATTTCTATAATAAACATGGATTACTCTATTATTCAGGAAAAGTTTTTAAAATTCTTTTTAAAGAAAAAAGCATTGCCTATACCTTACCTATACCTACATAACAGATCATGAACGGCATTAGAGCAACGGATCTATGACCCAGTACCCCACTCACCAAAGTAGCCATAGAGAAAACATGAGACTCTGGTTAAGTGTCAAAGGGCAATAGAAAGAATGTGCTATGCAGCCATTGGGGAGGAAGTGACACCTTCAGTTTAGAAAGTGTCAACCTGTACCAGTGCCTCTGGGTTGTACAGCTTCAGCCCCTCCATGTTTGTCTCCTAAAATCCCAGAGTATTAATGCTGAAAGACACCCAGGAAATAGAAGGTCTCATTCTCCTATTTCATGGAAAAACTGAGGCCCCAAATAGGTAAGAAAACTGGTCCACCAAGGCAGGCCCTGTTCCAGTGGTATCCTCATTGCCCATGCCTCCTGGCTTATATCTTTCCTCTCAGACTCCTAAGTGCTTGAAAATAAAACATGACCTCACCAATACTTCATCCTCTCAAAAAATACCAGGAAAAAAATGGATAGAAACAATGCAAATTTATAATGTTTCATCAAAAAATATTTCAGTGTTTGCATGAGTTCTTTTGAATTTAAGAAGGCCTTTCTTTCCCTTTTAAAAAAGAGCAGAAATATATCAGAGCAGAACAGAAATAAACGAAACAGAAAACAAAAAAAAGAGAGAAAATCAACAAAACAAAAAGTTGGTTCTTTGAAAAGATTAACAAAATCCACAAACCACTGGCAAATCTAACAAAAGAAAAGAAAGAG